GATCAGGCTGCTGACTGGTTTAGGGCTAATTTCTTTCTTTTAAATGAAGACAAAACTGAGACAGTAATTTTTTCATTGAGAAATAACGAGGTAAATAGTGTTAAGGTCCTAGGTGTGTTGGATAGTTGGCTAACTTGGGCTAGTCATATAGATCTAGTTTGTTGATGGTTTGTTGTAGGCTGTCTAGAATCCTATATCTCAAATTATTAACCAGTGTTTGATACATGGAATTTTTCCGGATAAACTAAAACTTTCCCAAATCTCACCAATATTTAAAAAGGGCCTAAAATCGGATATTAACAATAATTGTAATAATAATAATAATAAATAATAATAACAATAATTATTAGGCCTACCGTCCAATTTCTGTATTGAGTAATTTTTCTAAAATATTTGAGAAGGTCATGAATTTGAGATTGGTTCTAGTTATTTATTTTGAAAGCAATCATCTATTTTATAACAAACAATTTGGATTCAGGAAAAATTTAAGCACAGGTTCTGCACTAACACAGTTTATAAAAGAGGTTACCCAGGCTTTGAACGGATCTCAGGCTACAGCTGGTGTTTTCTGTGACCTGTCCAAAGCTTTTGACTGTGTTGATCACTCAGTCCTTCAGCTCAAGCTGAGTGATTATGGTATTAGGGGAAGTTGTCACTCTCTATTGAGTTCTTACCTTTCTAATAGAAAACAAAGAACTGTAATAACACTGGATAAGATCAAGTACTATTCGCCATGGGAAAACCTATCGGCAGGTGTGCCCCAAGGTTCAATCTTAGGTCCTCTATTCTTTCTAATTTACATTAATGACCTCCCTAAAGCTATTGATCAGGAACTAATTCTTTTTGCAGATGATACAACAGCCTTGATAAAAAATAATAGTACTTCTGAAATGCTATCTTCTCTTGAAAATGTGGTTCATGACATGGAGGGTTGGTTCTTGAACAATGGATTAAAACTTAATCTTGAAAAAACGCAAACAATAAAATTTTCCGTCAGAAACAATGGTAATAAAATTGAATCCCTTAAATTGGCAACTTCTCATAAATTTCTAGGTGTTTACATAGATGAATCACTTAAATGTGATGTACATCTGAATCAATTAAAAAGTAAACTTAGATCCATGTCAATTGTATTTCTGCACTTAAGGGACTGTGTTCCTAAAGAAACTCTGAAAATGGTTTATCATGCTTATGTAGAATCGGTATTGAGGTATGGTATAATCTTATGGGGTCAGGCTACCGGAGTCAAATCAATATTCAGGCTACAAAAACGCATTATCCGTATTATGACCGGCTCTCATACACGTAGTTCATCATGCAAAAACCTTTTTCGAAATTTAAAAATCCACACCCTAACAGGACTGTACATTTTGGAATCACTATACTACATTCATTCAGCTAAAAACGACCTCCCAGAATCAATTCAAATCAACCATAGATTAATACTCAAAATTAAAACATTTTTAGATTTCCAAGGCACCATTTGACCCTTTATGAAAAAAGTCCACTATATATGCTGGGCTGAGGCTGTACAATGTGCTGCCTGCAAACTATAAATTGTTAAATGGAAATAATTTTAAAGATAAAATAGGTGAAATCTTAATTGACAGAGCCTTTTATTTAATTGCAGATTTTCACAATGTCCCTTTAGTTTAGAATAGTTTTATCATTCAATTTTGTTAATTTATATTATCATCTTGATTACTATTTTATTTGTTATATCCTGATAATTTTAACTCTGACAATGCACCTATTCTGTATGTAACACATGTAAAGAATGTTATGTGCAAATAAAATATGTCTATGTCTATACTTGCTGAGAAACCTGAAAATGTGTGTGCCTAAAGATTATGTCAAAACTGCTTACAAATCCCTTTTTGAAAAGTGTAATTTTAGGCCTATATGGTTTGAGGCTATGGGGCAGTGCACCAGATGTAAAATGTGTATTGCTAAGTACTGCAAAAGAAAGCAGTACGTCTGCTGGCTGATGCAACGTCCACAGATCATTGTAAGCCCATTTTTGTATCTGAGGGCTTGATGACATGTTTTAGCTTATATGTAGGCCTATTTGTGTGCCTATTAAATTTAAGAAGTAAGATAGACAATGAGAGAGGATTTTCATGAGCATGATACTAGATCTAAGAACCTTTTTGATGTGCCATTTGTTAGATTAAGAAAAAATCAAGTTCAACACAGCTTATTAAGTTTAAGATTTTTTAACAGACTCCCATGTGAAGCCCGAATCAGAATTTTTCAAAATTCAAAACCAACCTCAGAAACCTTTTATTGGCCAACCCACTGTATTCCTGGAATGATTTTTTTAATATACACCAGCAGCATCCATAAGTACCTATTTTTAAGTTTTTTTACCTATTTTTAACTTTTGACTCTTGATATGTGATATTTATTAGACCTTGCATCCTTTAGTTTTTTAGTTGTGAGCATAAAGTTATTATTTATTATTATAGCCTATATCTATTTAGGCCTATTTATTGTAGAAATTTTGAGAGTTTTGTAAAAGCATGTTGATTGATATTGAATTTGCCTTGTGAATGCCTTGTGATCATTATGCCTTGTCTAACTGACGATTCCAAATGCATGTAATTTTTCAAAAGGAAAATAAATATTCTTATTCTTATATTTGGATCGAATTTGATGAATTCATTTAAGCTATGTCATTTCATCCAATAATTTATGAAATTATTAACATTTAATTAAAAGCACTTTTAAGTTAGCGCCCTGTAACTTGGCAGCAAACCTAAGTAGCCTACGCATTAAAGAATAATAGTTAACTTAATTTAAGTTTAAATGAGGATAAATACTTATTGACTTGTTACCTTGGAGTTTAATGGGGAACTAAGAATTGGAAGTGTAAACTTACACTCCTGCTTTTTAAGGTACCGTACCAGTAAGTTTGTTCAAAATGTACAATGGCAGGTTTGTTTACAAGCTAGAGATATACAGTAGACTCCCTCTTAACTTATCCGGACACCTTTTAACCGGACATCGGTTTGACCGGACTACACTCGGTAGAAGTGAAATCTCTTTATCCGGATAATTTTTATCAGCACATCAGTTTAACCGGACTAGATTGGCAGGAAGTGGGCGGTGGGCCTACTGAAACGACTGTTCTCCTAAGAAAGATTTGAGACCAGTGATTACGTGTCTAAATACGAAGCTCTCCTAATTTTAAGTCAAATACTGTATAGAGTTTGCATTTAAACGGTCCGTTTTAACGAGATTTTGGGGACGTTGGTTTAACCGGAAAAACTGTTAGGGTATCCGGACTGGCCTCGGTCTCGAGGAGTCCGGATAAGAGGGAGTCTACTGTATGTTAAATACCCAAGAAAAATACTGTACAGAGATACATTAGGTACACTTTTTAAGTACCGGTAACCTGCCTGGCTAGTGGCCAGAGCAAATTCTATTTGTCATCCCCTTCCACTCTCCTTTACCCCCTTGCCTTAATATCTTAATCTTAAGTTACACCCTCGCGCTGTAAAGACCCTGTACCTACGTTACAACCATTGATTTATATGTTAGACCTAACTTAGTCTAGACTGTAAAGCTTAAATAGCCTAGGCCTAATTTACTTTGCGATGATTACAACTGCTGTACAAAAATGCTATGCGACCATCCCTGGTCGGACTCTTCTTCGCTTGGCACAAGTACTATTTAGGCCCCACCATAAAAACAAGAGCTAAAAGCACACCGTTTTCCCATAAGCTTATATCCTCTGCATCTTACTTCTCTGTAGTATTTTTATTAAACTGAAGTTACACATATACTATTTTATTTAAGTTAGCTTAAGATTATTCCAGCAACACACTAACTTACAAACAAGTTTTAATTAAACTTAAGTTGGTATAAAATCACGTTAATCAGCATTGAAGTAAGCAGGCTATAAATAACTTAGGTACCTATAGAATATTTTTAGGGTACTTTGATATTATGAGGAGGCCACTCTATTTACACTCTGCGGCGGTCAAGTTTATGTTAGGGTTGGGTAAGCAAGGCTAACTTATAATTTTTAAATAACAGTTTTAAATATATGTTTTACTAAAGAAAGTTTTTATTTATAAAAGTTTGACGCTGTCTATCTGGCCCTGGCTGTTCAAAGACGAAGAGGAGGTAATAGGTAATAGGTTATCATTTAACTTACCGGTAAAAAATGTTTGTAGGACTTTCTTCGTTTCATTACGAATCGAATGATACCAGACGAGTCACACTTTCTATTTATGATAACCCAACCTAAAATAACCGCCGCAGCATGCTGTATAAGGTCGCTCTTCATATAATACCAAAGTAAGTTAAGATAGGGTAAGTACCTAACTTGCAATTTTTAGAAACTCAACAGGAAGTTACCGTTGTAACTAAATGCAATATATGGTACAAATATACAAATCCCAACTCAGAACTCACCAAAAACATACTTCCTGAAGTGTGAAACTGTGCTGACAAAAAGTTTAAGGAGGAAAGTTAGTACCATAACTTAAGTTAAAGGTACCTAATTATTCCGTATAGGTGCCTCCATACGAATTTTTAATTTTGATATCTTACTTTATAGTTTTTTACCTCCTGAATCCAAATATACCATTATTTTAGCCTACCTAACTAATAAATCGTGGTTCGAAAATCTTCTCCTACGATTTAGGCTACAATAATCAGGCCTGAGCTTAGGACAAGGTAAAGAAAACTGCCATTCTTGGCAAGATTTGAACCATAGATAGAAAAAGATGAATGAAAAAGTATTCAAAATACATCTAGGCTGTTTTATTGAGAAACTAAAATATTCCCCGTATATGTGTAATATATTTTTTGCAAGCAAAATTAAATAGATATACAAGTAACAACACGTTGTGCAGAAAACGCGGGCACAAATAACGGATTATTTTCAAAGACAGTAAAACAGGAACTTAGAATATCATCACAAAGAACGAGGAAAACCACACTAAGTACTTACAAGATACATAAAATATTTTCGTGTTAAATTAACGTACCTTTTTAATTTAGAATATCCTGAATCAGGCAACGAATTACGAAAACACGGCACACCACAAACACAAAACAACACTCAAAGTACTATGCCGGCCCGGCTTTCCGTTGTATGAAGTTGTTGTAATGTTCAACCCCACCCAATAACGTCACGTGACTGTTTCAACCAATCAAACAAACTATTCAGTTGTATACCCAGATGCTTCTCGCAGAACTGCCAACCACAAACAATAACTGTTAGAAGCATCGGTGCTGTACGTAATAAAATACCGATAGTGTCATATACATTAAAAACCGTTGGTATCACACGGATGAAGATGAATAACGTTTACTCAATATTCAGCGCAGTTGGAAATACCTGATCCTTGAACGATCTAAGTCATTGCTTTTAGTCAATTGGAGAAACAGTAAAGCGAAAACAGAAATATATGACCACATAATAAAAAAAGATCAGACACATTCTCATATTTTTTTCATTAAGAGGCATTTTACCATCATGTTTCCGAAAGATGTACCCGAGATTAAAAACAAAATTGATTTAAATATAGGCCTGGCCGTGATATAGCCAATTCGGTTACCACAGCATCCACCATCATAATATGTCGTCCTGTAATCCAGCTACTAAGAGGTCACGAATTGTGGATATTTATAGGCATGCACTGTGGATGCCATACTCCCCAGTGTGGATTAACGGGTCCGCACGGGTGAGTACTACGACTATCCGCAGTACTGTCCTAATACCCAGACAGCACACTTTCTCCTCGGGACATCCCACGGATATTGCGACAGGATATGCAAGATATCCCATAGTAGTCCTATGGTCAACCTGGGATATCCCCAGGATATCCACAGGAATGCGTAATGTCCCCACCCATCGGGGATGTCCTACGGATAAGCTCGCAGCATATCCGTGGGACATCCGAGGTCATCCTCAGGACATTCTCAGGACACATAAGACTACTATGGGATGTCCCTGGGATAAAGTGTGGTCTGGGCCTGAACATAAAAAACACAAAATAATATAGATTTAGTATGAAAAGCATAATTATCAGTTGAGTAAATTGATTAAATAGTCAATAGACACAAATTTTGAAGAAAAAAACGAGAAAAAAGTGTTTGACTCAGACGGGTCTTGAACCTGGTACCTTCGCCTAATGAGCCTCATACCTTACCTCCTGAGCTATCTGCGCTTGGTGATTACGGGTGTTTTCAAGTGGTCAAAGAGTAGCCGACAGCTGCAATGGTCGCAATACAGTACTTAAAAGATTTTTGATACTACAGTATAATATGATTCTGTTAATCTGTTTAGGCCTCAAGTAGTCGAATTGTTTTTCTGGTAGTTGGAGAAGATACTGGTATTTGAATATAGATAATTTAATTACCATTAGATTAGCACTGTTATAATTGATTGTTATATGATTAAAATTAGTTTTAGATTATTTTATTAATTTAAAGTTAGAATTAAATACACGTTTCACACAACTATAGAACTCTAGTTTTCCTGAACTCAGTGGTAGTAATGTGTCAGTAAAGTAAAGTCAGCCCTTGCTAGCCACACAGTATTAACAATAAGACATATTTTCAATTTGGGAAAACTTAAACTTTTAAAACAAATTATAAAACCTCAACATCTTAATGCGTGGGAATCTTATTTTATAGAAAAAAACAGACCAAAATTATTTGTTAATGACCCAATTATAAACTCGGAATTACTGAAAATAATTATATCAAGAACAACACTGTAATATATCCAAAATTCAAAAGATTATTTTTTCTCCTGATGATGGGAACCTAGTTTCTGAAAGCGCTAGTGAATAAAACAAGTTATTATACATTGGCCTTGTTGAACATTTAAATTTAGGTATAGATTTCACCATAGTTTTATTTCTTCAGTTTGTTACCGGGACCCATTACAGGATATCCAGTGGATTTTGTACATGTCCCGGGAAGTCATGGGACATCCTGGGATATCCTATGGCGTTCGTACATATATCCCGGGACTTTACAGGATATCCTGTGGTTAACTTAAAAATCCCGGGACATTACGGTATATTGTAGGATATCCTGCTCGGATTTCGTACTCGTCCCGGGATTTTGCGGCATATCCTGAGGCTAGCGTACATATCCCGAGACATTCTCAGGACACATGGGACTACTATGGGATGTCCCTGGGATAAAGTGTGCTGTCTGGGATCATGTTAAAGGTCTAGTCAAGTGGAGTTCATTGCCGGAAACCGTGTCAAAAAAGGTTCATCCGGTACCAAATGGCGGCAGTTCAAAGTTCTTGCGGAATATACCTGCAGAGGCCTTAGTATTGATCCTACTAATAGTCAACATTAGCAGGGAAATCTTAAACCCAGTTAAATTTGTTTTAGGATTGAATACTAGTAGTCTATGAGCTAGTTGACTTTAAAATACAGTTTTAAGCTCTCAAGCTAATGTTTAATACGAGTATTTGCCTATACTAAGGCCTGTGCAGGTATATTTCACAAGAACTTTGGACAGCTGCCATTTTGTAACGGATGAACTTTTTTGGACGCGGTTTCCGGCAATGAACTCCACTTGACTAACCCTTTAAAATGATGTGCATATCAACCTATGCTTACTTTAAAGATTATGTACCTACTCCTCGTGGGTTGTCCCCTGGTAGAGGTAAAAAATGACAATGCTTGGAAAAAGTAGTTTTCATACATGTAAGTTGATGTGAAAGGTTTGAATTTTCTAACGGATTTAGTTAAAAAGATATTAAACCGTTTCCAGACTTTTTTGTCACCCTGTATATAGTTCATTACCTTTAAAGTTTTTAACAATATGATATTATCGAAAATTTGAATTTCTCCTTCATCTTTGGAGTATCATATTTTTTTTAAGTTATCTTTGTTTACAGTGGGGTGAAGAATTGAACGAGGAGATCACAGCAGATATTAATGTATGGTAAGTACAGCCTCTGAATCTTTCTTTTAGAGTACAGTAGGTGTTATTTGTTACAATTAAGGCAAGTAAGAGATATTGTTTATTACCACAGTAGTAGAATTGGAGACTAAATCTTTTCTACAAGAAGATGAAATGCATAGGCCTAAAAGCAATCCTGACTTATGGGTACATTCCTAAATCCTGGTGTCTCAGCATGGTGGTCTTCATTCTCTATAGGAATGCTTGGAAAAAGTAGTTTTCATACATGTAAGTTGATGTGAAAGGTTTGAATTTTCTAACGGATTTAGTTAAAAAGATATTAAACCGTTTCCAGACTTTTTTGTCACCCTGTATATAGTTCATTACCTATAAAGTTTTTAACAATATGATATTATCGAAAATTTGAATTTCTCCTTCATCTTTGGAGTATCATATTTTTTTAAGTTATCTTTGTTTACAGTGGGGTGAAGAATTGAACGAGTAGATCACAGCAGATATTAATGTATGGTAAGTACAGCCTCTGAATCTTTCTTTTAGAGTACAGTAGATGTTATTTGTTACAATTAAGGCAAGTAAGAGATATTGTTTATTACCACAGTAGTAGAATTGGAGACTAAATCTTTTCTACAAGAAGATGAAATGCATAGGCCTAAAAGCAATCCTGACTTATGGGTACATTCCTAAATCCTGGTGTCTCAGCATGGGGGTCTTCATTCTCTAGAGGAATGCTTGGAAAAAGTAGTTTTCATACATGTAAGTTGATGTGAAAGGTTTGAATTTTCTAACGGATTTAGTTAAAAAGATATTAAACCGTTTCCAGACTTTTTTGTCACCCTGTATATAGTTCATTACCTATAAAGTTTTTAACAATATGATATTATCGAAAATTTGAATTTCTCCTTCATCTTTGGAGTATCATATTTTTTTTAAGATATCTTTGTTTACAGTGGGGTGAAGAATTGAACGAGGAGATCACAGCAGATATTAATGTATGGTAAGTACAGCCTCTGAACCTTTCTTTTAGAGTACAGATGTTATTTGTTACAATTAAGGCAAGTAAGAGATATTGTTTATTACCACAGTAGTAGAATTGGAGACTAAATCTTTTCTACAAGAAGATGAAATGCATAGGCCTAAAAGCAATCCTGACTTATGGGTACATTCCTAAATCCTGGTGTCTCAGCATGGTGGTCTTCATTCTCTAGAGAAAAAGCAGATTTCTCTGAGGCCAAATCGTTCTTCCCCATCAGTCTTTCCTCACTACTCCTCAGAGGCACATAAGAAGGGTGTACAGTTCTTCTAAACACACCCATTCATCGCAACCATCACACATAAGCCAGGCAAGTCCTGTGAAACTGCTCTGCATGGGCTGGGCAGCAGAATTGAGAACAGTCTGGCTGCTAAGAAAACAGCCCTATGCACCTTCGTGGATTTTAAAGGAGCTTTTGATAACGTATCGTAAAGAGCCATGGTGCGGGGACTGTTTGTAAGCATGAATTCGAGCAATCTTTGTGCAGATGTACAGAGTGCTCAGCTCAACTCCACCATGGCTGACTTTTGAGAGAAAAAATGTGATCCCATCCCCACAAAAAGCTCTCCACAGGACAGTGTACTCTCACCCTTAAAGATGTTAAAAAGATATTTTAAAAATGAAATATTAGTTAAACGAATTGCGGAGTTCTGAACTTTTTGCAATTCTCTTCCCTTGAGATACTGTTGCCGTATGCAGGAATATAGTAATGGAGCACTGACAACACTAGTGAGTGACTGTACCAGCTTGGCTGTCTCTGGCAGGATGATTTGTACCGTGCTACAGACCACGTAGCCTTCCCAAAGCCACCTGGGAAACATAAGTGGTAGTCCGAGAATGCAAGGGCGGTCCTAGACATATTTTTCGGGGGAGGTCACGGGGGGGGGAGGGGGCCTAACATTCCATACTCCATACCCCCCAGCAAAGAAGGGGGGTCCAGGAAAGTCCTTTTGGTTGCAATGCAAGCTGTTGTCATAAATGTAAAAAAAGTATATTGCTGCACCCTTTTGGTAAACCTATTAACTCTTTAATGCTATTGAACATCACAGAATCAACTTGTTTAGTTGAACCAGCTGTTAAGAATCTTTAATTCCATTTAAATATGAGTTAACATAGGACATAGTTAACATAAGGTTAACATGGGAAACTCCAGAGCCACTGGGGCGGAGCTCGAAACCCCGATCAGAATAAAAACTACTTAGTTTTCCTATTTATTGCCCAATGAATCGGTGTACCGAATTTCAGCCTCCTAGGTAAATGGGAAGTGGGAGAATTAGTGATGTGAATGAGTCAGTGAGTGAGTCAGTGAGGGCTTCGCCTTTTATAAGTATAGATTAAAGTAGTAAATAAAGCACAGCTGAACACCCTGAAATAATTAATATAATATTTTTCGTAGAAAGTTACATGTCCGAAACATGTAACTTCTACGAAAAATATAATAACTATTTTAGGGTGCTCAGTTGTGCTTTATTTACTATCATTTGCCATAATAAGTATATTTATTATTTGTATTGATATTATTTTTGTTGTGTGTGTTTTTATAGTTTTTTATAAACTGTGAAATTGTGTTTGCAATCTGGGTGACGTCGACGTAAGCATATGACAGGAATAGCACACATGTTTTTCCTTCCACCATGGGATCATTGATTGATTACATTTAATAATCAATGCTAAGCCTTGAGGATTAAAGTTAAGGCTGTAAGCCTGTTTCACACCAAAGGTGAAGAGTAGAAGAAAGCTATCAGCCATGTGTGCTTGTGCTAGTCACTTGCTAGAGTGCTTGTCAGCTGATATTCTATTTACTTTGTTTGGGCAGTTTGCCGACTTTGGCTTCTGCTATCTGCTTGCCGCTACATATAATCGGTTATTATGTCGTTAATTCATCACTTCAAGATCAAGAACTGTCGTTTTAGTTTTGGTGGAATGTAATGTCTCTCCCTGACTGTCACCACTAATTTCGTTTAAATTGCGTAAAAGTTTAGTGGTCTATTGGTGATTCGTTTTTGGATAGCCTAGTGACGAAGTTAGTTAGGCCTATGATTGAATCGTCAATTCAGGCTTATTAATGTGTGTGCTTTCTTAGAGTGCTGGTACATATTTACTATTTTAGTTGGGGCCTAATTTCTATTATCTGAGGGCTTAATTACATACTAGCGAATTTTTGAAAGTGTCTTTTCATAGAGGCTAAGCTCTTAGACATCCGCATAGGCAGTCACTTAAATATCCGCTTTGATCTACTTTAAAATATAATTTATTTCACATAATGAACACTATCTCAAGTAGCATTAACTACTTAAAAGATCCTCAATTGGTTGCTAACTTCCAAAAGTATTTTGGTGTGTTAAGTTTGTCCCAAGCTAACGAACAAAAGGTAGCGAGACTTGAACTTAGATCTGGAAATAAGTTAAACAGTTTGAATAGAACTTTGGACCATGCTAACCTAAAACTAAGACATTCTAAAACAAAGGGTGATACCAATGTAAATAGCCTAGCACTTGAAAACCATGATAGTCCAGAAGAATACAGTGAAAACGGAGTGCTGCCCGGTAATACAAGCACGACACTATTTTCAGAAGATACATTGTCATCTGAATCGGATGTAGAGCAACCATCATATGTCATAACGAACAAATTTTGGTACTATTTCTTCTTATTTGGAACATACCTCGGTGATGAAGTTTTCTATGCCTCTTTCATACCATTTTGGTTTTGGAACATAGATGGTGCTGTTGGAAGAAGAATCGTAATGGTCTGGACAATCATTATGTACCTCGGTAAGTTTAGCTTGAAATTATTTAAGTTAGGCCTATCCTAAATCTTTTACAAAACATTGATATCAGACTACTAACTTAAGTTACATAATTTAAATACATAGCCTATATGTTAAAACTTACCAAGAAGGGTTAAGTTTACCCTAACTTAGGACCCCCACTTCACATTAAACATTCAAAAAAATGTTTTAAAACTATTCTTCAAGATTACACTCCAACTTTCTTAAATTACATTTTTGGGGGCTGTCGGCTGCACTTTACTTTAGGTCCTACACTCATTCGAATGAAAATATCGATCGACATATCGATTAATCGATTGTTTCATTCGATATATCGTTTGGTTAGGTAAGGTTAACCTAACCTAACTAACGAAACGATATATCGAATGAAACAATCGAATAATCAATATTTTCATTCGAATGAATGTAGGACCTAAAGTAAAGTGTAGCCGGGCTGTCATTAAATTAATTGCCTAGGCTAAATACAAATTGTGAGGATAATGCTATTGAAAGTACAACATCTAGGCCTAGTCCAAAATACTATTGTTTGAGAGACTTTTAATTAAACTTATAAGCAAAAAAAAAATACTACGAATTAGTGAATTAGTTTATGACATTTGTGTTTTGGCTATGTTTAAATAAGAAATTAAGAATCTCGGTGGCGATCCTTCCATCAATATCTAAAATATTCGAAAAAGTAGCATATAAACAGTTATAGAGTCATTTCTAGAAACAAACGATATTTTAAAGCCTGAACAACATGGCTTTCGAACAGGAAAGTCTGTATTAACAGCAGCGACTGATTTGATTGATTCAGTAGATAATCACGAAAAAGCGATTGGAATTTTTATAGATTTGAGTAAAGCGTTTGACTCTGTTTCCCACCCAATTTTATTAGACAAGCTGCATAGAATAGGTATTAAAGATAGAGCTTTTGATTGGATAAAATCATATTTCACCAATAGGAAACAGTTTGTCCAAATCGTAAACCTTTCTAATAACTTCAAACATTATTACAACTCTCAACTTTTAGAAATTAAAAATGGCATACCACAGGGATCAATAGGCCTACTCTCAACTTTGTTTTTCAACTGTTATTTGGCAGATAGGCTATACCAACACCGACTGGCACAAGTAAATTAGTTCTATATGCTGATGATGCCACTTTAAAAATATCAGATACAACTTTTAGTAAGACAGAACTATCAGTTAAGAATAATATGACCACTTTGTCTAGTTACTTCACTCAGAATAATTTAGCAATAAATAAAGAAAAAACAACTTTAATCAATTTTAAAACCCCACAGGCTGCAAAATATCCATCTGATAGTCTAAATATCGGAACAAATCAAGTAATTAGTAAAACAAACAAAACAAAATTTTTAGGTCTAACAATAGATCAAAATCTAAACTGGAACTCCCATGTACAAGAATTAATTGCTAAAATATCTTCAGGTGTCTTTGCCCTTAGCAGATTGCAGTATTTCTGTGAAACTGAAACCTTAAAACTAGTTTATTTTTCATATATACATTCAATAATATCTTATGGCATCTCCTTATATGGTTGTACAAGCTTAAATAATATGTATACAATTCTTAAATAAAAAAAAAAAAGCGGTGAGGCGTATATTGAAACTTTCACAAAAAACACATGTAAAAGAATATTTTATTTCACTTAAAATAATGACAGTCTATGGGATGTATATATATCAAACTATCATCCACTTCAAGGAAAGGGAACATACTCTAAACTAAAACCATTAGGAAGTAATCATGATTATAATACTAGAAATAGGAACAATATTGCAAAGCCATACATAATTTGGAACTATTTAAAAAGAAACCTACTTATGCTGGAGCGTTATTTTTTTCCAAATTACCATTAACCTTAAGACAAGAGCCGAATCAAAGAATATTAAAAAGGAAGCTTAAAGATTTTATAACGACTAAAGCATTGTATAATATACAATAATTTCTTGACCCAGAGTTTAATTCAAAACCTTCCGGGACTTGAAGGGCTTTTGGATGTTTGGAATATTTTACTGGCTTTCTTATTTTTTATGATTGTTATTTGTTTTGTTGATTTAAATAGCCTTCTTTTTAGTAAAAAAAAATGGTAGAAATAAGTTAGAAAACAGTTTTAAGTTATAATAAAGAAAGAATCACCTTTCGACACTGTTCAATGTACTGTAAATATGTACTTAAAGAATAAAGATTGTTTGAAATGAAATGAAATGAAACTCAAACAACCGAAGCTTAGGCCTTCAGAACTCCATATGTGGATTTAATGCTGGCAACTACTGAATGTGCCAAGGGCTTTTTCCACACATATCCATTTCTGTAACTTATATTTAATTATGAGGAGGTTAAACTCTCACAAAATGCGTTTTATTATCCAATTTAGTTACATTAAGCCTTCTCGTTGATTGTAACTCAAGTTTTACAAAGCTAGGGGTATAAAAGTAGCCTACATTTCATAGGCTATGTTTACAGTTTGTCTAATAAATCAGGCGTTTCTCACAAATCCATCCTAACTGTAGGCCTATTCTATAATCGCGGCACTAATTTTGTCAGTAATCATCTTAACGTGTTCAAAAGCGTTGGCCTACCCTATGCATATTGTAGCAATATTATAAATTATTGGTCTCAAAAACTTAGCCTTTGAAAAGATATTTTCCTTGATTGCAATGTTAGCTCTTATTCATGCTCAAGAAAGTCCTAATAAAGAATTGAAATCTACACATTAGAATTGGGGGAAAAGTTGCCTAACAATTAGTGTTCAAAATTCCTAGTTTTAGCTAGGAATGTTAAACTGTGAATATTCTAATGTACAGCCATGTCCCTTGCTACCAGCTCGGCACTATCATGGTGATCACTCACTAGGCCATTCAGAAGTTAATGAAAAATAACAAATCCCGGTAAGGAAACACTTTTTGGTGTCGCCCGACCCACTAAAATCTCCCCCGCGACCCACCAGTGGGTTGGAACGTGACCCACAGTTTGGGAAATTGCTGCATTAAAGGCTATCTTAAATTTAGTGTTTCATGCCTGCAGACAGAAGAACTGATCATTTTTCTCAATCCTAAATGCATTCAACGTTACAGGGCAAGGTATCAAAGATATAGTTTGCTGGCCTCGACCAGTAAGTCCACCAGTGTTTCGTCTGCAGAAGAAATGGTCTTTAGAGCATGGAATGCCGTCCACCCACGCGATGGTGGGCATCGCCATCCCCTTCTCAGTCATCATCTACACCATGAATAGGTATCAGGTAAATTTGTGTCTAAATGTTTCTGCCTACTTTAGTTTGATAAAACTATTTGACTAAATCATGGTTCTACTTGCTTTACACTGTGTACTAACAGGCTGAACTACGCCTCCATAGGGTTTTGATCTGATGTAAGGCTGGTTTTATGCACAGTTATTTTTCGTACTCTGGACTACCTATCTAGAAATTTATGTTAATTCACTTCACTCAAATATTTTAAAATTAACTTATAGGATATGTTGATACCCATTAACTATAACCCTCCGAGTGTTAAGCGTCGCGTAATCGTCGCACAACACACCCGCCGTGGTGTTATGCGTCGCTTTTGCGACACACAAACATCGTTTACGGCGAAGGCTCTGGGACTGACTGAATCAGATTGAACTGGATCGAGATTGGTATTGTTGTTTTCAGCAGATTCTAAGCTTTCCCCTGATGTCTGTTTCTAGACGCTTTTCATTTTAGTTCCGAAAATATTGTAGCAGACAGATGACGTGCGTATTTGTAAACAACTTGGTTAACCTTGCACCGATGACTGATGTGTTTTATTACGTTTATCATTGTTTTAGTGTTAAAAATAAAAAGTTGTGATATACGTTGTGCATTATAAGAAGATTTAAGGGATTTAGAAGGGCTAATTGATGATCCTGAAGAAGTAGGTAGTGATATTGATGTAAGTTACCTGCCAGATTCCTAGCTATGGTTAGGCTATGCATTCTCAGCTAACGCTAAATGTACAAAATCTGTTTTTCACCCATAACTTATTTATTTGTGAACCTACTTCCTTATATTATTATATTTTTGGAATTCTCATAAAATTTTTAACAAAGTGGCTATTTTAAAATATTTGTAGACCTAAAATTAATAAAAATTTATTGAGCGCAAACATAAAATTTTTTCATTCATTTTATAGTTTTTGTGAAATCTTAACCCCACAAAAATTGTAGGAATTTTTTTTGTAATGTTTTATATACTATTACATTGAAGCCCATAATATTGCAAACAAAATGATATATAAAACAGTACATACTTTAAAATGTTTTTAAGTTTCTAAAAGATACATTTTAATAAAACCCTGCGATTGCGCAATAAATGGGCCGACATGAATACCATTACTATGGACACTTGGAGGGTTAAGCCTATATAAGACATTATAGTCAATTTCTTGTGTGCTATCCTCTACCACAAACAGTTTTTTTTTTTTTTTTTTTTTTTTTTTTTTTTTTTTTTTAGAAAAAAGGATTGTTAGGGAGCAACAGTAGAACCAACCGAAAGTTGTGGTTTCCCCTCACCTAAATCCTTTATTGATTACATCGGCTTAGTGAATTAGAATTTATATTCAGCTAATGGATACTAGTTCTATATTATTTTTCTGCTGTAAAGAAAATAGCACTGGATAATCAACTCAACGATTTTTTGTCTCAAAAGTTTGATCTTATCAACTGTAAATTATAGAAAAGTTTTCTGTTTTTTTGACATATGGTAAAACATTTCCCAATATCCATAATCTATATCCACATCCAGTTGAAGGAGATATTCATGGGACTAGGATCTTGAAAATAAAAAGTCACTATCCCAACAATTGCTATCAGAAAGCCACCGATCACCTGTCTAAAGTTGTCATCTTTTTCTCGAACGTTGGCGAAACTGATCGCAAAGCAATAAAGTCCAGCCCAAGCACACCACTTATGCTTCACAGCGTAACCAAACGAGCAAAACAACACACCTATGATGATGTACAAATCTGAAATCTGTATTTCATTTCTTGGAGTCTTCTTTTCCATTGGCTCCTTGTATTTTTGAATTCTTTCTGGTCTTCTTGGGTCTGTGTTAATGCCTGGAATAGTCATTACTGTGAATTGTGAGTTTTTATCTTGAGTATTACTAAAAACAAGCTGAATAAGTGTTGCTTTGATTCTTTGAAATGTTTACACAATATAAGGCTTGTTAATAAAACCAATAATATGTAATCAGCTGTTAAATATTAGGGAAAGTAAATGTGAAAAAATGGTTTAAAAAAATAATGTTTATAAATGTAGTACTTTACTACTTCAATACTATATTTTTTGTGTTCTACATAATTATTGTGAGGTAGACTTTTGTATCTGTTGGCACAAACAACTGAATGGAAATATTGATATATATATATATATATATATTGTATGATATATTATATTGATATATATAACATATATTGATATATATATATATGTTTCATTCAATATATTGTTTGGTTAGTTTAGGTTAATCGATGATTTTGTTTTTATTTGGTTGTTTGTGCCAACAGATACGGAAGTTTATCGTGGTATCAGTATACTTTTTATATGGGCTCTGTTTTGCACTTTTTTTTTATTAAAATACAATTTAACAGCTATTATGATTGACTGAAATACAATCAATTTGTCAAAACTAATAGAGAATGCTAATTATCTTCAAGTGAATGTAAAAATATGTCTTGTACAATTTGGGCTTAGTTGTGTTGACCATCCTGGTTATAATTATTGATGCAGGTAGGTACAGATCATATAAATGTGTTTAACATCTCTCCAACTTTCTCTTTTAAACAGATAAGATGTAATAAAATAAGTTACATAAAAACTTTAAAAGTCAGCACATGGAAGGTTAAAGGTATAATTATTGTAATAGGATCAGTTGAGTAGGATTTTTTTCTTTTTAGCGAATTTCCAAGAGTAACATACTAACCTCACTTTATTCAAATTAAAATTCAAATAATCTTTATTTGTAAGTAGCATATAACATTCATAAATAGTGTCAAAATACAGGTATGAAAAAGTATAATCAAAGGTTTCTTAAAATTATCAATGCATAAATTAACATTATTTCCTACAACTCATCTAAGGAAGCTTTGTTGATACATTCATATTTATAGTTTATTTATTTAAGAGGGAGGTTTAGGAATTCATCCAGCGAGTAAATTACCTCGTTAATTAAATAAGCTTTCAGCTGTCTTTTAAATGTAATTGGATTTTTTTTCTTTATTAATATTTTCTGGGATTAATTTTAAAGATTGTTCACCAACATATGTTGGTTTTTTTTCATAGAGCTTCAGTCTGTGCAAGGCCACACTAAAAAACAGGCCGTAATGCTTGTGAAGCATGACGTCACGATTGAAGACGGCAATGACGTAATGTTTAATATTTTTGTGACAAAGGGTATTTATTTATTTATTTTCCAAGGGAAGATTAAAACAAGCAGCTGATCACAAACGACAAACTGCGTCATTGCCGTCTTCTATCGTGACGTCATGCTTCACAAGCATTACGGTCTGTTTTTTTAGTGTGGCCTTGGTCTGTGCTGATTTTGCCTTATAGAGTTCTTTTTTCTAGTGTTATAATGATGTGTGGGTTCGTGAGGGACATCATCAGGAATTTTGTTCTTTGCACACAAAATGACGTCAAGAACATATTGGCCATAAACCGTCAGTATTTTTAACTGTTTGAAATGTTCTCTGGCCGAATTATCTTGATTCAAGTTCAGCATTACTCTTATAGACCTCTTTTGGAGTCTTAACATACCATCCAAATTTGCTTTTTTTGTTGCTCCAAATAAACAAATACGAAAAGAAATATGAGAATGTATGTAAGCAAAATAAATATTTTTCAAAGTTGTTAAATTACAACAATAAAAAGACATTTTTGAAAGCTGAAAAAATGCATGAATTTTTTCATGCAAATGAATTTTTGAAAAGACATTAAATATATTGTGTTTAAAGTGAGGTAAAAAAAAAAATGTTTAGTCAGCAGATTTGCTGCGGCGGGAGTTTATATAGGTACAGTAGACTCTTGATAATTCGAAATTGGTGGGCCAAGCATATAAATTTGAATTATCAAGAGTTTTGAATTATCAAGAGTTCGATTTATCGGGAGAAAAATAAACCATTCGAATTACAGAGAGTTCATTTGTTTAATACATACAAAGCTACAGCACGTTACAATTAAACATCATACTGTACCGTATTTTAGTACACTTTTAAACAATCAACTGCTTATTTTTTAGTTACTGTAGTTGCAAATAAATCTGTTATTTAGCGCTATATATTTCGCCAATAGCTGAACTATCAGCTGTCGACAACTACGTTTGTGCTCAAGGAGATGTCGTGCAATCTGGAGACTTAGAAAAACAAGTCAGCGAACTAACTCAGACTACTGTTCTAACTAAACAAACATCAAAACGCCCAACACTAGCCTACCATGGGAACAGGATGTACAGTACTTGATGTACTGTACTGTATAGTTTCCTGTTATATAAGGAAGATATCACTTCGAATTATAGAGTGTTTTGCCGACTAAACTTCGAATGACTGCGTGACTTTGATTTATAGAGTGTGTTTTTCGACGAAACTTCGAATTACTGCATGATTTCGAATTATAGAGTGTTAACCGACGAAACTTCGAATTACTGAGTTACTTCGAATTATAGAGTGTTTTTCCGACGAAACTTCGAATTGCTGCGTGTTACAAATTGCCCATCCCCTCTATTTGGACTTTGAAATACCGAGTGTATCAAAATGCATGGTAAAAATTTGAAATATTGAGAGATTCTCTAGGGACTGAGCCTTCATTTTGAATTATCGAAAGTTTTGAATTATCAAGTGTTTGAATTACCAAGAGTGGACTGTATACATACATATATATCAAAATCTGAAGAACCTGAGCTCCAATAATTTTTTTTATTTAAATAAACATCAAAAAGAGATTCTGTACTATATTCCCCTTTAACAGCACTTTTTATAACACTGAAGCTTCCCTTGTGTTTAGTATTGTAGTGCTTCTGTATTATTTATAAATACAAGTTTGTTGCTTAGGCCTACACAAAAATGGTATCTCTATTAAAGAGTTTTTCACAATGCAAAAGCAACACTATATATTTTTATTCTACATCACATAATGGTTCTATTGGCCTTCTCTACATTTAACAGTAAATACTTTAGTAACAGGATCTATTGTCCATCTGCCGTAACAGGAAGTTCAGATCAGTTTTTG